TTGTTAAACACCGTTCGCATAATTATGTTTTACACTAATGGTTGGCGTTAATTACAAATCCCATTAAGGTGCGCAAAAGCAACTTTCCTTTTTGCGAAGTGGATATGGTGCAAGCATGTGATTCACATAACAGAAGATTTAGGGTTCCTCCTTTTCGTAGTGGAGGAGCGATATGGAAGACCTTGCATGTCCTCAATCACAATGGGAATTTTCTTATTCCAACAGATCTTATGCTTGCTTACTATCACTCAAAAAAAATGGAACAACACCCACACACACACACTTGCGTCCCCAAGAAATAAAAATGATTGATAGGGATAAGCATCTGATCTTTTAATTCAGCCGTTGCAGCACCTTTAACATTGAGTCCAACCTCTGGTGTGGGGATCCTGGCATGATTGGCATCTTCTTCTCTCACCCTATCGTCTTCTTTCTCCTTTCACTTTCGGCAACTAGCCAAGAATGGGCCTCTCTTGACGATGGCATGACCTTTGCACAGTTAGTGTCCACGTGGCATCGTGGGGATGAGTTCTCTCTCGTCGGCACAACCCTAACCGTACGTTATCTGATATAAAGAGAAATCATGTCTCGCCAATTTGATTGGAATAGTCATTTTCATAATTGTGTAACATTCAAGGGTATTGACTGAACATTTGCGTTGTGGCTCCTTTGTCTTTTTGGTCCGGGGGCTGCATTCGCAGTAGACAAAATGTTTGCTGTAGTATCTCGGGTGGTGATGAAGGAATGGGGGCATGTATAGACAGATCCAAAGATGTTGCCAGAAGAACACATAAAATTCACTGGCCAAGATTAAAAAAAAAACCCAATAAAATACAAAAGATGTACATAGATAAAGCCCATGTTCATAACCAAATTGAGTGCATGACATAATAGGTGAAAGTATAAGAGAAGGGCATCAATGTATGTTTGTATGCAAGAAGTATTATTATTCACCCCACTTAGTCAAGTAGTTAATTAAACCATGCCATGAAAATTATTGTTACATGTTGGGCTCTTGTTGGAATTTGTTAAGAATTTATATCCCATCCAGCGCTTGTTAATGATAGTCAAATCTTATACAGAGTCGGCTTAAAGCACTCTCTCTGAGGAAAGTTTCCTTGTTTGAAGGATTTTCTTCCCTATTGGCACCGGGCTCAAAATCTAGATCCATAAATAAAGAAGTTAATGGTCCAAACTAGACTATGACAAATACAGTTCACCCATCGGGCCCAATTGATAGAATGTCCCATAAGCCCATCGATCGTAAAGGCCAAATTGTATAATTGACCCATAAGGCCCGTAAATGGAATGCATGATGAGCTCATCGATCATGAGTTTTTAATAGGCAGAATTTTAGTGAAGTACATAACACATGGCCATGATCGATTAACTTGAAGCACATATAGAAGTTAAGATTGGGCTAATGAAAATACATCAATCGTGGGATAATCCTAGCTAAAGAATCGGGAAGAGTTACAAATCATCCCTAAAGTTGCACGCAAGTCAAGGCAATTGGAGATTCTTGCATAAGCGTAACAAAATGGCTCATATGAGATACAAGAGCAATCAAATCATAAACAAGCACAGACATTACACAACTACCAATCAACACACAACATCAATCAAGGCATTCGCAAGAAAACAAGACATCACATTCTGGAGATGGAAAGATCATTTGTAATGCATCGATTTAAATTAGATATTGCCTATAGTTTGAATTTGAACTTTGAAATACGATTCTGGGTTCTAGCACTCGTCTTTGTTCTTTCCGGTCATCATTTGTAAGCTTTTTACTTTCTACGCACTTTAGTCATCTCTATTAAGAAGTTTATGTTCAATTTTAGTGATTAAGTGAGTGCGGAATCCAAGAATATAAGTCACATGTTCTGATTCAATAAAGTTTCATGTAATTTCCCTATTTGTTCCCAATCGACTCTATGAATTATTTTAGTAGTTTAAGTTCTACAAATTCTCGAGGTTTCATGGCATACTATAATCTATTTACTTCTGATTTGAAGTCAAATCCTCGGTTGGACTTTTTCTTTTTGGTTAAAAGAAAATTATATTTATTACTCAAAAAGATACATGAGAAGTAGAGTGACTTTCATGACAAAGAAAATCGAAACAGAGCAAATCCAAGAATACAACAAAACAAAGTCAAATCCAGAAAACAAGGAGAATCATTAGAGAACCGGCAGGGGTAAGCACATTCCAGAAAACAAGGAGGATCAACAGAGAACCGGTAAGAGTAAGCACATACTCATTTCATAAAAACGAATCTGTCAAGCAAAATAATTGACGACCGATCACTGGATCTCGTATTATCATCAGTGATGAGCACACGCCTATAAGTCATTCTCCAATAACTACGGCGTTGCCTGTTGGCAATGCACACCTAGATTTGGCTTCCTCTACACCATCGCTGAACGGAGACCACCAAAAAGAGTTGAAAAAACACAGATCTAACTTTTGGAAGAGCAAATCTTCGTGGTTCAGTAAGACGCCAAAGCTCTTATGATCATCAATGAAATTGGAGGCAGAGAACTTGTAAACGGACAAAACATGGGCTATTGAAATCTCGAAAACATTATTAAACTCCCAAATCTAAATCGGGAGAAAATCTCCTATATTTAGAACTAAATCATGAGAGTTCAAACTCTCAGATCTGGATTAAATTAGGAGATGAAAGCTCCCAAATTTAGATCGGAAGAGATGAAAAAACAAGAAAAGAACAAAAAGACTCAAACAAAATCAACGGGAGGAGAGGGTGAGGCTAGCTCAAACCCTCTTCCATGGCTGAAGCTTGAAGAATAAAAATGGAGAGAGGAGAGAGAGAAAAAAACTTTTCGGCTTTTGGTGTTCCTCGGTTGGACTTTAATACTTGAAACGAGTGAGTTTCTGGTGACCACAACTTAATACATCTGACACTCCCATAATGAGCACCCATTGCATTTCGTTTTCAATCACAACCATAATCTCCTTTAGTCTCCCATAATCTCGCATTAGTTACAAATCAAGAAATACATTTGAAATTTAGAAATATGGAGAACTCTTGTCACTACTAGCAAAAGAGCCAATAGGGACAATTTTTCAGAGGGCGCGTTTTCCGGATGCTTCCCAATCATCCCAATTCTTTCCAGGCAACGGATCCAGAGATCCACAACCTCATGTTCATGTCTTCCCATTAAATGAAAGGCAAAAGAGGCAAAACTAAATTCAAAATAGATCGACACTCGCAAAGTCCGACTACATTTCATTTCAAATGATCGATATCACGAGGTATTTGTTAATAGTAACACAAACACTTGCCTTTCTCCTTTCAGGGCTGCGTTGGGTCGTCACGATAACGACTAGGATGAGACAGGATAAAGAGGGATACAAAGAAACTGCGCTTAGACCAATTTTAGTGGAGTAAGTTCGTTATTATACCGAGCATACAACGCACGAAGAAGGAAGAAGGAAATCTCTGGCAGTTCGGTGACATGTTAAGATGGGCCTTGAGGCCCATAAGATCTGGGCTTAGTAAGATTAGGCCATTAGTGCAAGCGTCGGGACTTCTCCTTCGGCCCAATTACATGCAAGGAGTTCTTGGTGTACGTTCTGCTTGTAATCTACTTTCTTGCATTTTCTTAGCCCTGGAATGTTTATCTCTTCCATGAACGACACACTTTCATGACTTCGGGAACCACAAAAAAAAAATTAGCAAACGAAAAGGAACAAAAAAAAAGTACAACCAAGAGTCGTGAGCATTTTTGCCTGTCGATTAAGTTACGAACCTTGGTCGATTGAATTTTTAATGCTTTCATCGATCATTCCAACTCCTAAGTTTCACGTTCGGTCAAGGTTGGCGAGCCACGCCTCGCCCATGTTACGACACGGAGAGTTTTTCCGACGATAAAAAATTCACGATAAGACGTGATTGGCTGAGAGTGAAAACCGCCGACACTCGATCTATCAAAATAAAATTGTGAGCGGCTCGATTTATCGACGGGAAATAAAAAGAAGTTTGGATCGGAACTATCACTATAAAGTCATGCCTATGCGAATTGGACTCTAGATTTCTGGACGAAAATGTGAAGTTTGGTACTTGATGGGGGAAGAGACTATGACTTGTCTTCAATCAAATTCGAATTATTAATGATGTGGGTAGGTAGTGTACGTGAAGTTATATAATCAAGAAACAGTATGTGGACAGAGATTAGTGTTGATTGAGGTGCACTTGTAACTGTCATCCCTATTATAGCTAAATGCATCATCTCTCCTTAGTTACAGAGAGAGAGAGACTTGTCCCCTTTGGTGAAGCTTTACTCTGTCATCTAGCCTTAGCCTGTTGACAGAATATTTGTCTTTTAAAATACACCACCCATTTGATTAACCTTGATTATAGCATTTTGAATAAGCAATTCATTAATGACAATTCTTTTTTGTTTAAATATTTCGACAAATGCACTTACGTATCATGCCTTCGAAGATACGTGGAGGAAATTTTATGCAGGACAGCCATCCATCCAAACCCATATCGTTTTTTTTTTTCCTAAACTGATGGTACCTGCCCGCTTGATTATTAGTTCCAACATGCGGAAATACGTATGTATGTATGTATATGTACATATACAATAGATATAGTTTGTTATGTAGGCTCAGATAAAAGAATGTACAGACACCCTTCCTCTCTTTTATGGACTGCGGAAAATATCCCTCTGTGAAAACCGTGTGTGTTGGTTTTTGTTTTGCTTATTTTAATTTCTGTCCGAGTATCTGTCACCAATTACAGAACTTTCTCTTTCCATACTTCTTTCATTTGCTTAAACATATGAAATTGAATAAGATAGTATATTCCAGATGCCTCCTATGACTTGGTCAAAAACAAGAAACAGATTAGTCATCAGCAGGATGGGTTAACGTGTACAGATAATCAACAATTCATAAAGTTATTTCTAAAGTCTCCAGACAGGAACTTCAAAATGTCATTATTTTTGGAGGAAAAGTCCAAACCTATCGCAGCCATACCATACTCAAAAGTCAATATCTTGGTTGGACACCACATTTTCTTCCATCACGGTATCATCCTCATCGTCTCTCTGTGCATCTCTCTTCCCATCTCCGTCTCATTTCCTTCTGAAACTCCAATTTTTTCAAGAAAAAATCAAAGACTCAAGACCCAACACCCATCAACCATCACCTACCGCCACCAAGGCTTCAGTCTTGTAATCCATGGCAGATTACAACTACAATCACAGCAGATCAAAGTCCTATGGAGGCCCTAACATGATGCAGTTGCAGCCATACTATGGACCACCACCACAATCACACAGTGACCTCAGGTCTTATAGTGCATCATATGCACAGACAGACATGTGGGGCACTTACAGCAACAATAACTTCAACAGGGACTTGAAGCTGAAGAAAGGGAAGAGCACATCTGGGTCAACCTCAAAGTCATGGAGCTTCACTGACCCTGAGTTCCAGAGGAAGAAGAGGGTGGCTAACTACAAGATGTATGGGGTTGAAGGCAAGGTGAAAGGGTCTTTCAGGAAGAGCTTCAGGTGGCTCAAGGATAGGTACACACGGGCGGTTTATGGTTGGTGGTGAGAAATTAGATGTTGGGGTTGTCGTTGAGTCCTTTTTTGGTCTGCAAATTTGGTTCTGTGAAATATGTTTATGATGAATCTTTGATTTTCCAAAAGGGGGTCTCTTTCACTTTGGAGGGATGTATTCATGAGTGTAGGGTATATGGATTGGACAATTGGCATGAATTGTAAATTAGTGGCACCGGTAGTTGTTAATCCAATCGTTTGCAATCTTCTCCCAGGGCTTAAAATTTATCGGCATGTGTATCTTGTTTCGGTGGACTCGGTATAAGCAACTTCATTCATGCCTTTTGATTCAACCTGTAGTTTCTGCAGAATTGAGTTGTTATGATTAGGTGATGTCTTTGGTTTCTTGCTAGACTCGCCCCACGGTATCATGGTTAGGAAGTCCCTCATCTTTTCTCTATTTGCCTGTTCAGGTTCTCATTGTCGTTGAAGTAGTTTAACAACTGCTGTGACATCCTTCATTGTGAATCGGTGTACTTCTTCATGATTGATCACCAATATGCCTATTGATGTCCACAAACTCAACCTTCTCTGTCAACGAATTGTCGAAGTGATCTATCCCGCAGCAACTCGAGGGACAAATTCTTTTGTTTTTCCTGATATATCTGATGGACACTATCGATTAAGTTCAGGTGGATTCGTCATAAGCAAGGCTTGTCTTGTTGGAGAGTAAACTATAACTGGGTATCCTCCTGGACACATTGTGTCATCAAGTCTGGTGTATACTGGTAAATTATCACATTGCGCTCTTTCCCTCTTTTGTTTTACCAATTATAGTGGAACATGTTCCAGCTGTTGTATGTCTGTTTCTTCACTTTTGCTCGCACTGGTTGGTAAATAGAGCACAAAACACAAGACAATGTTTGGTACATGATCCGTCCCAATTTAGTTATGCAGTCTTTTCTCCATCGGTGGAACTGTCTTGAATCCCATGTGCCTGTGAACTGAAAACAGCAAGACGTAGCAAGTTTGAGTGCTCCATATGGCCAGACTCAATCTGCTTCTTTATTGACACCGTCATGGATTGACTCAGTTGTTTGACTAGACTCATTGCATACCCGTAATTACTCTATGCCTCCTTATATCTTGCTATCTTCGATTGAAAGGAGGCTGCCGAACAATCCGATACACCAGTTTGTGCACCACTCATGCGCTTTAAATTCCTTGTCACTCTTCCCATAGAAATCTACAACTAAGAAATATTATCTTGATCTCTGCTCGATACTGTCGTTGGATGTTTGCTCAGTGAGTACTGTGAGATGTGAAGAAGTTAATCAGGGGGTTAATGTCTGCCAGTTGAACCAATGCTCAGATAACACTGAAGGCTCGAGAATGGAAGGGTCCTTGACATGCCATTACTTTCTGAAATTGGAACAGTCAATTACCAATTCTCAGAATTAACATAGCTCGACTCTCAATTGCATCATTCCGTGATACTCTGGCGCTGTCCGCTCTGTAAACCCTTGCCTTTTTATCTGTACCGGTACCCTTTTTGTTAAACCTGGATCGTACTAGATATCCTCCATAACTTTCTTTCAATTTATCGGCATGTTTCTGATAGAGTTGGTCACCATTCGACGGTCACTTATCCAATGAAGCAGGTGAGTTTCTTACTAAATGTGACTTTTGCGAGTATGGTACTTTCATACTCACTGAATCGTGTTCGTTAACTGTTTATGTGGCGTGGTTTTTGTTTCCTCACGCGTGTTGACAGTATCGAACCGAGAGAAAACGTGACAATCAAATGTATGCTCTTTTACTATCCAGGTAGAAAGGCTTACATAATCCCTGGTGGATTGGTAACAAGCGTGAAAACTTTATGTGACTAAGGTTTTGTACATTTCGGCGGAAAATGAATTTGGAAAGCGATCATTCTTTTGGGAAATATTATTCGGATCATTCATTTTCCTCCGCGAGACAAATGTATCCTAACTCCTGGAATGCATTACATCCGTCCAAATGATGGTTGTGTGAATTTTAACATCGGTCCAAGGATGCGATTAGGGGACGGCATACATTCGTTTCATTAGGCAGTCAAACTTTCTAACTTTTCGGCCATAGTTTCATGACGACAACAAAAGAACTCGTGCCCGCACCCAATTCAAGCGTTTTGAACTTAAAAGTTCGCCAGCCTAATAGAAATACATCTAAATTAAAATTTACCAACCTAATAAAGAAACGCAAAAAAAGAGAGTTTTGAAAAACAACTGTTAACGCCAAAACCTCGGCCCTCTAATCCCATGATCAAGGAAAGTGGTTAACTCCAGACAGTTACCTCTTTTGACAGTGATGAACGTGTTAGAACAGAGCCTTAGAAAAGACACCCACTACCTTCAATCCATCAGTACGTGCAGCGAAACTACTCCCTTCGATAAAAAAAAAAAAAAGGGGCATAAATACCGAAATCCAAAAGCCATGAGAGTGATCGAAGTCTCTTCCTTCCTGAGAGCGGGTTCCCTATTCCTCGACGTCATGGAAGAGCTGTTCAGCAAGTCCTCCCTCCGGTCCAACCTCGCCGAGTTCGTCTCCGCCTTCATCTTCGTCTTCGCCGGTGTCGGCTCCGCGATTGCCGCCAGTATGTTCTCATAGAGCTTGCATCGCACAGATTTCATGAGAATATACTATCAGTAGGAACCGTTGTCGAACTTCTGTATCATATCATAATCTAAGTGACTACAATTGATCTTAAGCATGGGTAATGGAGAGAAAGAATTTGGGTTTCGATTGATTTTAACTATGGCTGATAATAAATGTAGTTAGTTTGCGGTTTTAATATAGCCTCCTAGCAGAGTCGCTATGGAAATGGAAAAGATAGATTTTGGAAGACATTATTAGCAAACTTGATAATGAATTTGGCACTAGTATTATCTATGATTTCTAGCATAGTTGGTTATGAGCATCATGAATTGAACGTATGTTAGCGAGAGCTTCTATGAGAATTTTACTTAGATGTTCGAAACCGACTTTACTAGGCATGTCGGCAGCCCCCGCAGCCGGGGCCACCGGTGAGAATTGCCACGTCCTGGCGGTGGCCGTAGCGCATGCTTTTGCCCTGTTCACGGCAGTGTTCACGTCGGCGCACATCTCTGGCGACCACGTCAACCCGGCGGTCACGGCCGGGTTGGTGATGGGAGGCCACGTCAGCATTTTGAGCGGCGTTTTGTTTCTGCTTGGCTCAGCTCTTGGAATCCACCATAACCTTAAAATTCGTAAATAAATCATTTAATTGTCAAGCATCTCAAAATTAACTATATTCGAGGCTCACGCCAGAAAAAATAAGATTTGAAACCAGTCACTTAAGACGTGTTGGCATTTGAGGAAGATGACCCAAATTTCTCATTTGATTGAGGTTTCTCCAAAGAAAAAAAGCAAACTATAATTTAAATAGAACAAAAATGATAGGAAATGATAGGAATTTGAGGTGAACAAAAAAAAAAAAACCAAATTCTAACTATTCGAATTGAGGTGGAAATTTAAATCTGCATTAAAGCAAATGATAGGAATTTTATAGGAGTTCAGTTGTCTATCGTTATCCACTTAATAAGCTGATTAGTTAGATCAATAAGGTTTTACATAGGAAGCAAAGGTTGCCATTTAAGATGTTTGGCCAGAAGCAACAGCTTACTTCTTCTATGTATGACTTTCCTTTCAATTTAAATATGGAAAAAATCTATATCCAATCTTCAAGGAAAATATAAGAAAAAAAAGGAGGTATATTATTTAAAATATTTAATCTCAGTACACGTTGAAAAGTTTCGAGTGCTTCAAATGAAAATCAAAATCAAATGGCGGCAATTGCAAGATCCGGTCGCCATATTGTAACTCATCAAAGTTCTCCCAAAACCAAAAACCTCGAGCGTCGTAAAAGCCGAACAAAATCATCAATCCTCTTGCAAAAAACAAAAAGCAAATGTACAAAATTCATAGTTGAACCCAACCATGTTTTTTTTGTGGTCTTTTTTAAATTTTATTTATATCCTTTTCCTTTCCCTTTCTTGGGTAAAGACCTTAAATTGGCCGTACCATTTTTAAGGCGCCTTCCTCGTGCATCAAGATCAGGCTGACACAACTATATATAAAATCTGGAGAGAGAGAGAGAGAGAAGTGGAGGTAAACGTGAAGCATAACCAGAATCAAGAACCTCCGAACGGTGTATTACCCAATCCAAATCCGAGAAAGGTCGGATCTTGCGGATCCATTTCCCTTCTTCTTCATCTCTCTGCTTCTGGGTCGCTTTCTTCAGGGAGAGATATCGAGAAGCGAGGGAGAGGGAGATGTGGGAGTCGATTTGCCTGACGTTGGTGGCCACCGCGGGCAACAACATCGGGAAGGTCCTTCAGAAGAAGGGCACCGTCATCTTGCCCCCGCTCTCTTTCAAGCTCAAGGTGGGTCCTTCTTCGTTCGTGGCCCTTTCTTCGTTCGTGGGTCTTGGGTCGATTGTTGTTGTTGGTATAGATTATGTGTTGTTGGGTTTGAACGCATTGCATATTTTGCGCGAGCAAAACTGGCTTTTGATGTTAGGATGGTAGTTGTTCCCATATCCAAATGTGAAATTAGCAAATGGGTCGTCGAGGTTCGATGTTTGTTGATTATAAAGGATAATTATAGGTGTTGGCTGAGGTGTTTCTATTGGGATTCGAGGAAATCTCAACTCTGTTGAATTCCTATGCTGTTTTCTTATGTCAAAGCATTGCTGTTCCTCATTGGGATGCTCGATAGCATAGGTACGACTTCCCTGGAAGTTAAAGAAGTTGAAGCACTATATTGCCATGCCGTTATCGATCTTTTAATTATAGGGTGCATTTCCTGTGCAATTTGGAACTTTGGGTAGGCTTTTTTGATGAGGAAACTGAGTTCTTGTTAGCATTGGCTCTTGGCTGACTGACTCTATTCCCTTATTTGTAGGTTATCAGGGCATATGCTCTCAACAGAGATTGGGCTGTTGGGTTTCTGATGGACATACTTGGAGCGTTGCTGATGTTGATAGCTTTATCTCAGGCTCCAGTAAGTCCGTGCTTGTGTGAGCATTCCATGTGAATGTCCCTATCTTGCGCAAGTAATATTCTAAGTCCATATCGGAGTTGGGGCGACTTACCTATTAACGACTCTAAAGTCAAGTTTTGTCCTGTTTCTACTTCTTAAATTTGTTTGTGTCCCTGCAGTGATATGCATGGGCACTTGTGCTTGTGTGTGCATGTAAACACGTGAGAGAATGTTGAATTTGCTCATTTTGCTAACTATATTGTGATTACAGGTGTCTGTTATTCAGCCGGTTTCGGGTTGTGGACTAGCTATTCTTTCAGTGTTCTCTCATTTTTATTTGAAGGAAGTTATGAATGTGGTTGACTGGTTGGGGATCACATTGGCGGGAATTGGTACCATAGGTAACATGAGTTGATTGTCTTTCTTTTTTATAATACGTATCACAAAGAATTTTATAATTTATTTTTGTCTCTGATGCTGGTAAGATTGCTGTAAAGTGGTGAGATGCTTATACTCTATAGGTGGATTTTTTGGATTTATGTATCCTTGGTTAATAAAATTAGTAGATCGTAACTTGCCAAATAAAAAAAAGAGTGCATTGTGGCACCGAAGGGCTCACCTGGCTCTTTGCCTAGATATGAGCATAGTATTCCAACCCCTTCTCAGTTTTCCCTGCCAAAAATCAATAAGAGAAAAAGATATGAAAGAGAAACATAAGTATATTTAATTATAGAATTAGTGCTCTCCTCTGATTCTTTCTTGTCCACCAAAAGTGATTTTTCATAGATTCATTCTGGACTAATCTGCCACAGCATTGAAATTTTTTTAGAAAATTAAGACATTTGCTTTGATGACTAGCAAATAGACACTTTTCATATGGATTTCTATTTGCAGGAGTTGGGGCCGGAGGTGAGGAGCAAGTGGCTTCTGCAATATCAATTTTCCATTTGCCATGGCTAGCATTCATAGTTGCAGTCTTGTTTGTAGGTATTCTATCCTAGGCACCTTTAATTGGCTTGTTTTTACAGCATAATCACACATTTAGGCATTTTTGACTTTGTCAAATATGTTACATATTACTTGATGTCGAATATGTGAACTTGTTTGTTTCTTTAGCCTGTAGGTCCATTATTTCGGAGTTTGGTACTTATGTCAGTTATTGAGACTTTTATTCGTGTTTTGCATTTTCACACACATTAAACTGTAGAGAAGTAAGTGTGATGCATGGATGCATACAAGCCTATGATTCTCGCTTCATAGATGTGCCCCATCCATTTTGGAAAGCAGTTCTTGGCCTTCCCAGATCAGTCAAAGCATAAGATTAAAAGAGAAGAGGTTGGATGTTAATACACTGATTCATCTAACATGTAATTTCTTTAGCTGCTGAAGTTAGTAATTGAAGTGTGTAGGATATCCCGAATATTGTGTAGCGACACCCTTCCCTACTCTTTTCCTTATAATAACGGGATAATATGATTCAATTGATGCTTTTGATCGGATGTACTGGTATCACTCATGAAAAGATACAAATTACTCCATTAATTGTTTTTTATTTTAGGCTGCCTGATTAGGCACACCTCTTCTGTGAAACATATGTCAATTAATTTCCAATGTAAAAAACCTGACGGAATTATTTGGAAAAGGTACTGCTCAATGCGTGGCTTCGCATTTTTAGACGACATCGCAGGCAGCAGGAGATGGTAAGATGGGGGGGGTCAAACGATTTAAAGTTCTCATAAGTGTGCTTTTTCACTGAGTGCTATCTAGGCATCTGAAACTCTACGTCTCTTGTGACCCTGTCTTGTGGAGCAGATGGAATATGAAGTTGTTGAAGAAATTATATATGGCTTGGAATCTGGCATTCTGTTTGGGTAATAATCTATGTTGACCTTAGCACTTACGAATTCTGTTCCTTTTGCTTTACTAACTATTTATTCATATCTGATTATCCACGTATTACACAAAAGATTGTGCTAAGCATGCATCTACCAAAGGTTTGCAGTTTTTCTTGTCAATGCTGTTGATATACTCACCACTGATTTGGAGACTAATTGATTTGAGTTTAATTGACTTAACACCTTCTCATTGATGAGGTCATATTGGACAACTATGAAACATTGGAATGTTACACTGTTTAACATCAACATGGAGCTTTAACGCATTCAAAAGCAGAAATAAGTTTAGACTTTAAACCCATTCAGAAGCAAAATAAGTTCAGAAAGGAAATTATGTCTTGTTATTTAAATTTGCTTCTCTTCTTTCTTTTCGTTTTGGAAAACAAAATCATGAAAGGAACCTCTGTTGCAGGATGGCTTCTGTTGTATCGAAGATGGGGTTTCTTTTCATGGAGCAAGGTTTCTCTAGGATGCTGGTTCCTGTGTGCATTGGAATCAGCATATCTTGCAGCGGTACAGGGTTTTTCTACCAGGTATGTGTTTAGCCTGCCGATATGGGGGTCATTTCATATGATGGTGACCTCGGATCTAAATTCTATAGCTTTTCAAGAAGTAGAATTTGCTGTTATTCTAGTTGATACCTTAATCACACTGTATTTTTTGTAGTTATCTTATGACAAAGACGATAGCTTTTCCCTTTTTTGTGCTTTTATTGGATGTTGGGTCAATATGGAAGTCTTTTTTGAGAATTTTCTGTGCTTGTATATTCTCTGTGGTGAACCTGCATAGAGTGGGTATAATTTCATTGTACTTGTCTGAATGAGTGAAACGGCGTTCTTTTCAATAGACTCGTGGTTTAAAGCATGGGAGGGCAATCGTTGTATCTACATGTGCTGCAGTGGCATCAATCGTGAGTGGTGTGCTAGCCGGCATGTTGGCACTGGGTGAGAAGTTGCCTTCAGCACCAGCGGCGCGACTTTTACTTTTGCTTGGATGGTAAGGGGAGGCACCTCTGATTTACAGAAGAACACATAATATATGTAATGTGTGTTTTGACCCTTGATCTTTTAAATTGTATGAGCTCACCACAATGCTTTCCTTCCCTTAATATCGTAAATTGAAGTACAAGAGCATCATAGGATTTGCTTTTTCTAAAAGCCAATTTCAATTCAGTTAAAAAACTACTGCGAGAAAGAAAAGTGCAATCTTATGTTTGTATGTAGGCACTGCATGAGGTAACATATCCATGAATCCTTTATACAAATAGTTAGGAAGAGTGTAAAACTTAGGGAGTTCAGCCATGAGCTAAGTTGATAGTCTGTGGTGCTTTTGCTTTCTTTCTTTGGCAATACTTATCAGTTGGGTGGTTTGAACCGCTGATTGAGGTTACCAATGCATTGCAGTGTCGGTGATGTTTCTTAGTTAAATTTCCTTGTGCAGGCTGCTCATCATTGTAGGTGTAATTTTGCTCGTGAGCTCAGCACGGCTGGTTCGACTCCTCCCGCGGAGATTTCGACAACTCGTCCCAAGTGGAGTTGGTCGAAATTCTGGCCTGAGACGCTCAGGATCTGTCCATGCCAAAGATACCAGTCCAAGTGCTGTCATCCATGCAGCCACATTGCACCATCTGATAGCTTCACCTTCTAAAGAGAAGGCTTGAAGCTAATACGGAGTTAGCACAGTTCAACTTTATACGCTAAAAGTCTCGCTCACATTCTTGTGCATGATCTGTTTTGCACTTATTCTTTTGAAGGGTAGGGTGTACAGTTATAGTCCATTGCCTTATCCATTTTCTGGAGGGCATTAAATATTAGAGTTCATTCTTTCTTTGAGAGAACTCACCTCATCTTTTCCAAAGTACCACACTTTTCTGTTCCGAATACATTTGTCAGATATTATTGGCTCTAGAGATTTCTTTCGGTGAATATGGAAGTTTATCTCAAAACTCTTGCACTGCATTAGCTAGCAAAAGACCCGTCGCCGTCGCCATAGACTGTATATCTAACACTGGCAATCACATGGTGAACCAACAAAAGAGGTCAGGTATTTTCTTTGGCAACTCGCCCAACAAATATGTTTGCTTGATGTCGCGCTTCCTCACAATGAAGTAGTTCCCTTTGCCGAAGAAATATGCATTGGTGAAGTTATGGATATTGCAGTGCCCAGAGTTCCTAGTCTTGCAGATGTAAATGAAGAGTGGACCATCCATTTAATTGATACATCCATTTCGCGCTCAGAAAAGGCCATGAAGGTGCCATTTTGACTCTTTCAGAGACGCATGTGTAAAGGGGCTCCAGTTTCTGAGTTGGCCTGTGTCTTGCCCTTTTCCGTGGCCTACTGCAAGTGGAGTTGGTCCCCAAAAGGGGCATGTGTGATGTGTCTTTAAGAAATTGTACCGTGGTTTTGATCAGCTGATTTGATAGTAGGTGAATCATTTATGTTGGGATCTTTTTTTTGTCTTTCGGACCATCATCATCTAGGTCGAAAATTCCGTAGTTCTGCACGGAAAACGGCTGTGATTGGGATGTTCCTCCACACCGACGACTTGTGCACGCAAACTAACTTTTCGAGACTGCCCAAATCGTAGAAACCTGCTGATTTCGCGACGGACGTTCGGGTTTAAGAATCTGAGCACGATAGACTTCTTTGGGATTAGATACTTAGAAAGGCTACTGAGTCTGTGATGCCGATTCTGAGTAGAGTCACAGCACATCAGGCGAGGCATGGGAATTTGCGAAGGCCACCTAATGTAGTTGTCTTATTCTCGTGGTTTGAAATGTTGCTCCACGCTCTCCTTAACACTTTTCACTGGCACAGTCCATGTCAAGTCACCCTCTTCACATGTTGTTATCAACTGAATTTTATACCAAAGTCTATATGAAGCTGTATTTTGGGGTTCTTGAAATTATTGTCGAATTTGATGGAATTCTTGAAAGATCTCAGCTGGGTAAGTCAGGACCATCTCCAAATATTTATACCATGTCAATCCAAGGGATGGTGACAAAACAAAAGGGGGAGCAGTAAGCCCCAGGTGTCAACGCCTGACAGAGGTAGAAAATCCAAACCGTTTTTATATAATCTCAAGTAACGACAGAATAATTCGCACCGAATGTTGGAAAATTTTCACCTTTTGCTTGTCCCTTTCCTGGCACATTCATCGACGGAGTGATTTAAATAGAGCTGTATAAGGTTGAATTTCTTTCAAGAAATTTTCATTCTTTTGTTGCCCTCCTACCACACGTGGGAGATTAGCTTTTCTGCTAATGACATTGAAAAGAAGAAAGAATTACCATGAGTGCCAAAACATTGCAATACAGAGTTAAAAGACGATAGCGAATGGACAACTATGTCATGATAGTGTATGTACAATTGAGAGATAACATACATGGCAACATCAGGAATTCAGTCATTTCTATATATTCCACACCGCTTTTACAGCATAGCAATTTTATATATGTAAATTCCACGTGTAAACAGAGCATAGAGCATTAAACTGTTGATATAATAGATTGACTAAACTTCACTATTTTTCCATATTCCTTTAAACAAACATAGGTCTATCGCTCTTTTTGCCAAGTAATGTTATAAGGATCTTCATGGACCTTTGCAATCATGCCTAGAAAAACCACATTCATATTAATCGAAAACATCGACTTCATTTTGTTTGGCACTTGTGTTTTGCTTTATCATACGCACGGGAATAACAAAGTCGAGTCTTTCCACCAAGCACAGTCCATAATTTTTAAATTTAGGACGATTCAAAACCATGCAAGAGGGACGCGGATTATGAGATCAAACCCAACTCGTGGAAGCATAATCATGGATTTTGGTTTAGTGAAGAAAACTTCCTCGGTCATTTCCAAGAACATTTTATCTCGAATATTATTAGAGTGTAATGGAAAAAAAGTGTCATAATCCTCGAGGACGAGTAGAATGCCCTAAATCGATTGAACACCCAAGTCATCAATAAACATAAAAGGGCATATGCATTATACATCGAACGAAGAGGACCACATTCTTCATTCATTCTTCTTTTTGATATCTGTCTTCATCACGATGTGGCCCCAAGTCCCAACTCGAATCCAAGCAAATACTGTTTCTGATTTTACATCGCTCAAAATTCGAAGGCACCAAAGTTTTGACAGGGCAAGAATTGCAAGAATTGTGCAATCAAAGTCATGAGGCCCTCTTCCCTCGTTTAAGCGAGACCCCCAGATCTTTGACAGCACTGACTCGAGAGATCTCTTGTCCCCTTCTTTTTGTTCTCTTTCCTACCTGCACCAAACGGGACGTGCCTTTTCATGAACAGACGACAAACCTCTTCCTTCTTTCTATATTTTATCTTTCCTTCCACGGAGGACGTGGCTTCAGTAGCCAGCGATTTTTAAAAAAATTTGTTTCCACCGAGCAACAGTGTTGAGTCTCCACATGCCGAGACAAAAAAATAATGCAGCATGCAGGCACAAACTATTGGCAAGGGGCACTGGCCATGGATTCGAGCGGGACGATGCTTTCTTGTCTCCATTTTTTGTTGCTTTTGAATTTCAAAAAACCATCGCACCCCCAAACGGCTCGTCGGTTTTGGAGCATTGGCCTGTCCCGGGCCTGACGCTCTGCACGCTACACAAAACCAACCCACGACCACGACCTCCCAAAGCCACCATTTCTATAACTTAACCCTCTCTCTCTCTCTCTCTCTCTGATTTAAATGTGCCACCATCTACTCTTCTCTTTCTCCCTGGGCAATCTTTGCTCTTTATGAAGCTTTATAGTTACTCCCACTCTCTCTTTATTACCCATTTTCTTGTTCCTGTCCCCTCTTGCTTCCGTGACCCTTTGACTGCTGCTTCACATCTTCTCTGCCACTTCAGTTTCTAGTCTGAAACTGGGTTCTTCAGCTCTCTTTCAAGTCATTTTCCTTGCATAGCAACACCTCCTCTTCCTCCATGTGAGCTCTTATCTCCATTGCCAGGGTTGGAGATCACATCACCAGAGAAAGTTCTGATTTTTGAGGTGTTGCAAGCTCTTTTCTGAAGTTAGTGCATCTGCGCAAATGGGTGCTTCAGGCAAATGGGTGAAAGCTCTCATAGGTCACAAGAAGCCCGAGAAAGAAGACCATGTGAGCCTCAAGCATCGCGCTTAAGAAAAGTTCAAAACTTTGATATCTTCAATCTTGCTTCTACTTGTTGGTTTTGCACACTGTTCTATAGGCCTAAGCTCCTCCTCTGTCTCTTTCTCTACAGCAAAAGGGAAGCTCTAAGGGCAAGAAATGGAAGCTATGGAGGGGCTCATCAGGAGATCTGGGGTCCTCATGGAGTGCATTTAAAGGGAAGCACTATGCAGCATCTGATGGGTCTAACAATGGTTCATCACCAGGTCTTGCTAGTGCCTTTTCTGCTGCAATGGCAACAGTGGTTCGAGCTCCTCCGAAGGACTTCAGGGTTGTGAGGCAGGAATGGGCTGCCATCAGGATACAGACCGCTTTCCGTGGATTCTTGGTGAGTGGGTCGCTCATGGATTCTCTTATTGAAAGTGTTTACTCTTCTTATAGTGATGCTTGATGCTAAATGCCGAAAAATTGTGAAGATGGTCTGCTGACCGAGTCCCTTCACTTTGGCTGATTCAGATTTGCATTCTCTGATTGAGAAACTATTGGTTTAGTCATAAAGTTTTTAGCTTTTCCTAAAATAATTAAGCAACGGTTTTCTTTATTTTTTGCACCCACTTTATGAGATTGTGAAGGGATGTGATTTGATTTTAAAGCAGTGGGTCTTGTTGCACTTGGGTTGCTGTTACATACTTGCCCTGTATATAGTCCACAGAGCAGCATAACCGGCTTGCAGTTGCTGACTGTCTGAATCTTCAGTTGATTGTTGAAACTTGAATTGAATATATTATATGATGTTCAAGGATGGAGAAGGTAATCATGAGCTGAGCTCAGATAAGATTATGTTCGACAAATAACAATGTTCCTAGGATTCAGAATTTGTATATTTATCTGGCAATGGGTGCTTTTCTCTTAGATTTATCCGTGTAAGTAAAATGCAGGCCAGAAGGGCATTGAAGGCCTTGAAAGGAATCGTGAGGCTTCAAGCTTTGGTTCGTGGGAGACAAGTGAGGAAGCAGGCGGCCGTCACACTGAGATGCATGCAGGCTCTTGTTCGAGTCCAGGCCCGTGTGAGGGCACGCCGTGTCCGAATGTCCATCGAGGGCCAGGCAGTGCAACGAATTCTTGATGAGCATCGAAGCAAGGCTGATCTCTTAAAACAAGCTGAGGTATCAAATATCCAAAAGCATATAAATTTACTCGAGATGATCTCGATTTTCTTTTTTTTTTTGCATTCAAGAAACTTCATGAACTCAGAAGTCTAAGTTATGCATCTTTAATGTTCAGGAAGGGTGGTGTGATAGTAAGGGAACACTTGAAGATGTCAAAGCAAAGTTACAAATGAGGCAAGAAGGGGCTTTCAAAAGAGATAGAGCAATTGCATACGCCCTTGCTCAAAAGGTAACTAGATTAACATTTGATGACATTCTAGTCTCTTATTACATTGACTCAATCTCTGGCATAAGCATGCTGAGTAATTTCTTGGATAATGCTTGCATATGTGGCAGTGGAAATCAAATGGCGATGCAAATTCCAGACCACTTGGGTCAGCGCCCGCTCTCAAGTCGTATGAGTTTGACAAAAACAGCTGGAACTGGAGCTGGTTAGAACGGTGGATGTCGGCCAAGCCATGGGAGACCAGATTGATGGAACAATCCCACTCCGACCAGTTGGAAACAACTGCTGCTCCGAAGACTTTCTCAGACTCTCCTCTAGGCCCACAATCAAAATCTTTCGAACCACCTTCTGTTAAAGTTCGGAAGAGTAACATGACCACTAGAATTTCTGCAAAGCCTCCCCTAGCTGGACGTGCCACTCGGTCATCCTCGAGCCCGAGTTCTGACTACCTCTATGATGAGAGCTCGCCTTCATCTTCATTTTGTATGTCTATGACCCCGTCCTCAGGAAACAATGGCTTGATGTCGGAGAAATTGGATGGTAGTAGCCATGGGAAGCCAAGTTATATGAACTTGACCGAATCTACCAAGGCAAAGCAGAAGACCGGAAGTCATCTGTCAAGGAGGGTGCAGAGACAATCCATGGATGAGTTCCAGTTTGTTGCACTTTCAGCAGGGTTATGCGGCAATGGGGATTTGAAAAGCGGTGCTGGTTGTGACCCCTTGTTGATGAATTTCTCGAGGCCACTTAATCAGATGACCGGGTTGGATAGGAATTTGAAGGTGATGGAGAGGGAGAATTGCTTGTATTATTAGAGATTCACGTAGTTGTCCTTTTTGGGCTTTTGGTTCTTATTTGTGGGTAATGTAAGCTCAACAACTTGGTGGTTTCAAAGAGTTCGGTGTGTTACTTGACCTGTAAACAGTTCTTCCTGTAATTTTTTGCATTTGAAGATCTAGCACAAAACCAACTGAAATTCCTAGAGGTTCCAGCATTGGATTTTGAGGTGACGCTCATGACTCGAGGGATAGCTCCACAGGTTCACACTTAAAAATCACCTAAGTTGAGCATCCTAAAACCAGATGTGTTCACTATATTATTCGCTCAGCTGTTGTAAAAAAATGCAAACGTAGCGTATTCTGCTGTACAGAGTGGATGCAAATATCTTGAGGTCTTTCTTTTTGTAAAGCTTATGTTCATGTTGACAATCGCAGCGATGGAGTACATTTTGTTGTGCGTCAGGAGGCTCAAATCTGTGTTCTATATAGTCTTTTACCAGGAGAAAAAGAAGGTTTAGGTTCATTCAGAAGTTGCAGTGGTTTTGTAAGCTATGTCCTTCGTATTCAACTCCCCTCAGGGAAGCTGGAGGTCCTGAGTTGCTACAGTTCCAGTGGTTTCTTTGAGAGCCTTGCCATCAATCCAACAAAAAATGGCGAAACTGCGCAGTTGAGTTGAGACTCGTACAATCTACAATACAGACAGTACATGGTTCTTGAATGTCAAGGATTCGTTGTTGCCTTTGTATTTCGTGTGAAGAGAAGTTCTGCTGGGCCTTTGCTTGAATCAGACGGGAATCCATGCCGTTGGCTGCGATTCGGGCATCTGATTGTGCAGATAACTTAATTTTTCCCCTTCAGTCATCATGAAAGAATGATCAGTTCCTGTAACCCAAATGGAACTAAGTTAAGATAATAAGACCGAAACCAGAGAGAGCATTAAAGTCCGCATGATGATGGGCGGCGACTCCAGTCCAGAATAGAGAGACTCTGAATAGTTGTTCTCCTCCTCCCATATTCACGCCACAAAGCTATTTCACGGGACGAATTCTCGCCCCGATGCTACCTTTTTCTTCTCATCCTTCATCACGTTCGCATAGAGGAAAACTCATACGCGACGGCCCTCATCGTCATGCGCCTGTCTCCTTTAGCCACACGGTCACTCTCTCGTGATGTTTAGCGCTTCGTCAAAGGAAGTGCTCGCAGAAGATCAGCTTGTCCCACATCGGCAGCACAAACGCACAACATACAGTTAATAACCCGCGCGCACGTGGGAGACGTTCGCCGAGCTCAGTAACGAGAGCTTGTAACCCGAGTGGGGGTAACAATGTGGTGGAACATGGGCTCCGATCATTCGGGCCGGGCCTGACGTGGCTACTTGCCGGCCCGCCCGTTCCAAGCCGAGAGCTGGCCCATGTGGTTCGGGCGGAGGCTCGGGCCACGTGGGCCCTAAAGTGGAGGGGCCCGCGTGAGGCTGGCTTCACAGAACAGCGAAAACCTCCCGCTCCCGGCAGTGGAAGGATAACGGGCCGGTGCCACCCAGGCCCGCTGTTGCCCAATGGGCTGAGCCCAACTGAACCACCACTTTTTTGTTTTTGTTCTTTTTTTTTTGGTTTTTTTAATAGAAGATAAACATTTTATTTGAATTAGATAATTTTTTTATTAATTACTACTTTAATTAATTTGATTCGAACTTTAAAAGAAAGAGAGAAGAAAAAGCACCTAGCATGATGACCTAATTAAACTGTCTAAACTACATGAACACATGACAACAATCGGTTCTTTCCATGGTGCCCATCTTCTTTTACGTATAAATGTTGTCTCCACTAAATCATGGTTAAATAGGCTCGAATTAAGTTTAATTTTATTATCGCGAATAAGTCAAAGCCGTTTATAGATGAATGATGAATGCTGTGTGCGCGGGGGGGGGGTGGGTGGTCGACTTCTTTCATCTATCAAATAATCGAAACATAAGTTCAGAAACGTAGATTTATTGATTACGCTAATACGTTATTTGCATCACAGAACATGTTTTTACGCATTTCACTTTGCACGTTTAAAATTGTTTTTACATGTTCAAATACTAGAGCCAACTTCTTAAGCAAGTTATGTCATATAATATATATTTAATAACATGCAATGTTCTAATTTTTAAATTGCGATACGGTAAAAGGAAGGTATTGCATTGAGATTGGACATAAATTTGATACCACAACAACCGAAAGTTGCAATCCACCAATCTAATGATCAGTGAACATTAGCCACATCTTTTTTTTTTCTTTTTTCAAATTTGTAAACTGGGGAACCAAGATGTTAATAGCCAAAAATACTACCTAATTGATTATTGCGCGTCTGATGAATTTCATCTCAATTATTATTAATGGTCAAGGTAATTTAGGCCTTAGATTATGATATTGAATTTTTCCGGAAAGAATATGATAACCGTACTTTTTTGAAAAAAAAAATTGTCAAAAACTCTCGTTTCTTTCTTCATTTAGAAGCGCTTTACTTAACCGGATGAGAAGGTCATCTAAGTTGAGCATCCTAAAGCCAAATGTGTTCTGCTATATTCGCTCAGGTATTTGCGAAAATGCAAATGTAAGCCTGTTCTGCTGTACAGAGAGGATGCAAATAGCTTCGAAGTCTTTCCTATTGTAAAAGCTTATTATGTTCATGTCGACAACAACGATGGAGTACATCTTCTTGTGCGTCGTGACGTTCAAAGCTGTGTTCTATGTTCTTTCGCCGGAAAAAAAGACGAGAAAGGTTTAGGTTCATTCAGAAGGTGCAGCAGTGCGGTGGTTTTGCTAGCTATATGTTCTTTGTATTCAACTCCCTCCCAGGGAAGCTTTCATATCCCGACTTGCTCCAGTTCGAGTGATTTCGCAGATAGGTCCGCTCAGGCTATGGCTTCTTCGAGAGCCTTGCCATCAATCCAGCCAGAAACGGTGAAACTGCACAGTTGAGTTCAGACTCGGTTATTGAGAGGGCAATCTACAGTCCAGTCAGTTTTCTGGCTGTCGAGTGTCGAAGGATTCATTGTTGCACGAGGGCATGTCGCGTGAAGAGAAGTTTTTTGCTGGGCCTTGCCTGAACCAGAAGGGGAAATCCAATGCCGTAGGCCACGGTTCATTCTCTTATGGGGGCATCTGATTGTGCAGACGAAACCGAAAGCAATCGAACGCCGCAAAGGTTGTTTTTTTTCCTCCCTCGGTTCATCATATGATACAACACTCGTCAGTTCCTCCGCACGACCGGTTAGAACATGAGAGCGGAACCGAGTTACATAGAGACCGAATCCAAGGAGACCGCAAATTCCACATCACGGGTGGCATCTCCAGTCCAGAATAGACTGAATACGGTCGTTCTCCTCCTCCTCTTCTTTCCATCCACGCCACAAAGCACCTTCGCTCGAGCTCGTTCACAAGACATATTCTCGCCCCCGATGCTACCTTTTTCTTCACATCCGTTTATCGCGTCCCCAGAGAGGAAAGCTCGCATGCGACGGGCCCTCATCGTCGTGCGTCTCCTTCAGCTGACGGCACAGTCACTCTCTCAATTGATTTGTCTTGCGGCTTCGTCAAAGGAAATGCTGGAAAGAAGCTCAGCTTATCCCACATCTGATGTTTCCACGTACAACAAACACTTAATAACCCGCGCGCACGCGAGAGACATTCGCCGAGCTTGGTAACGAGGGCTTGTGACCCGTGTTGGGGGCATCATTGTGGTGGGACATGTGCTCAGATCCTTTGGGCCGGACCTGACGTGGCTACTTGCTGGCCCGCCCGTTCCAAGCCGAGAGCTGGCCCATGTGGTTCGGACGAAGGCTCGGGCCACTGTGGGTCCTAGAGCGGAGGGGCCCGCGTGAGGCTGGCTTCACAGAGCAGCGAAAACCTCCCGCTCCCGGCAGTGGAAGGATAACCGGCCGGTGCCATCCGGGCCCGCTGTGGCCCAATGGGCTGCGTCCAACTGAACCACCACTTTTTTGTTTTTGTTCTTTTTTTCGCTTTTCGACTTGTTTTTACTGAACCTATTAAATTGCATCATGACTCGAATTTTATGTTAAATTGTCTTATAATAAACATTTTGTTTGAATTAAAAACCAATTTGATTTGTGTGAAATCGGGCATTTCGAATAGAGCGGTGTCAGATGTAGCATTCCTCGCCACAAATTTCAATGGAGCCAAATTTGAGCCACCGGTTAGATTCTAAAATTAGTGGAAGAATCTCACCAGATTTTAAGATATGACCTTACCTTAGGCGAACCCTAAAAAAGAAGAAGAAGAAAGTAAGTACCTAACTAAGAGGACAACCCAATTAAAGACTCTAACTACATTAACACATGGCAATCATCGGTTTTTTTTCATGATAAAAAAAAAAAAAAACACTTTCACATGAATGTTGTGTACACAAAACGTGATCAAATAGCGTAGAATTAAGTTCAATGGTATTATCACAAGTATGTCAAGCCGTGTGATGAACGTTGTGTCTGCGGGTAGCCAAAAATACCAACTAATTGATTATGGCGTGTCCAATGGAAATTCATCTTAATCATTACCAACGGTCAAGCTAATTTAGGTTATAGATTACAATATTGGCTTTTTCTGCAAAGAGTATAATAACCTAACAAAAATTTCAAAAACTTTCTTTCTTTATTTAGACTCACTTTTCTTAATTTCGTTTTGTTAGGAACAGATTGGTGGTCCGAGATGTCCTGTCACTTTGCTGGGAGCGAGGGAACAGAGAGCTGTCTTTTTAAGATGATCAATCTCTTCATCTTCCCATATTCCTAATTTCATCATAAATTGCAGTATATTCCTGCAGAAAACTATAAAGAGATGGGCCAAAAATTCAAATTATTTTAAAAAATAAAATAGAAACACCCAAATTTTTAACATGAGCTGGTTCAATCAACCAAAATTTACATGAACAAACAAAATCTGTACATCTTAGATTGGAATTGAATGAGAATCTGATGTGTGAAAAGAAAGATCTGGAGGAACCATGAATTGGGCATGCAATTTGGAGGCTTCAACAAGTCCTTAACCGAATTTACCTGCAAAAAATGAATTAAAGAACAAGAAAATCAAAACCAGCAAAGACCTAAAGCAAGTAAGATTAACATCAGAATACTAGACAAATCACAACATCAAGGATACAGAGAAACCAGCAAGCAAGCAAGCAACATCTGATTTGGCCCCATCGCAACTTCAACCATTCCTCCTGCTCAACACACTCCTATCAGATAACAAGCCAGACTAGCACACGTACATATTTCATTACACACTCCAAGGGACATGGGTTTATTTGACCTACCACAAATCTTCATATAGTAAGGAATGGTGTTGCAGAGAAGACCAAATACAGTAACATCTATCCTGGTTTTGATCTGAGATAACCCATTTGGTCCACCAGCTCTTTGAAGTCCTCTCTCCAATCCGGAGGATTCTCGACCAAATCCTCCACGTCCACCTCATTCTCCGATTCATCGTCGAGTGGTAACTCTTCCTCCGGATTGCCGGGAATCATGTCCTCGTTCAATAGTTCCTCCCAAATTGTCTCATTCACGATATCCAACTCATCGCTAGTGGTCCCTGGCATCGAGCCATCAATTGGGTCTTCGATGTCGATCCTTGATTCGTTCTCCAAGGCACCATAGAGAAGTGTCTCTATATCGGATTCAATCGGCACCAACTCTTCTAGATCATCGTTTGCTTGCAAATTCTCCACGCTCGGGCTAGCGGTCAGTCTCCGCTTCCTTCCAATGCCAAGACTCTGCAATTCCTTTCTTTGTGCCAAGTTCTGAATGAAAGAAGGGTTATTGAGCGCTTTGGCGAGGAAAGTCAGCATCTGCTGCTGCTTCTTCTCTGTTCTCTGCAACCTATCTTCCATTGCTGCAATCAGGTCCCTTGAGTGCTGTTGCTGCTGCTTCAGTTTCACGATTTCAGACATCAACAAGTTGCGGTCCCATCTCAACCTCTCGAGCTCGCCTTCCAATCCAAACTGCCCCAATTCGACGCAGGCCGCTTCTCCATGCTGCTGCTGATTCTGCAAGACGTTCCTCCTCCTCTTGATGGTCTTGAGCAGATGCTTCTGGCCTCCCAAGAAACCTTCATTCGCGAATTCCCATCTGTCTGGATCCACCTTCCTAAATCCCTGCATAAATTTTTACATGTCAGTAAAACTTCATAGGTGATTGATTTCCCCTTGCTTTAATTGATGAGGAAGTGTTCAAGTTTTGGCTAAGTTTCGTCATCTGAGCAGAATTATAGAACTACTCAATCTACATTACAATTCAAACAAACAGATCGTTTCATCCACTTCAAAAAAGGCAATGGATACTTGATAAAAAGAGGAAAACAATCAAATTATCGAGTAAAATTCCACTTCTCGATCTTAATGCAGTTCGATGCTGTAATATCAGAGTTGATCAGAGGTCAGCCTAATCACTTCTGGTTAGGGGTTGCCAAACTATCTGAAGCAGACCCAAAACCAGAAGCTTCATCGAACTCAAAAGCATGAACATGCCAAAAAAATCAATACCAGATTCCCCGAAAACGACGAACCAAAGACATAAATCAAAAGGTGGGCGATTGGAGAATTTGATCAAACACTTACGTAAGTGTTGAGCTGCCGGATGAAGCTGGAGAAGTTACTGTGCTTGAAGTGCTTGGGCAGCAGGGTGGAGGCGAACCGGTGGGAGTCCCACACGATGAAGCTGTTCTTCGCCCCGCTCCACGACACCACGGCGTCCGTCGCCGGGTCCTCCACCATCTCGAACGTCTTCACCAGGAACGGCGGCGGCCCCACCTCGTGGAGCCCCTCCATCGGTCTCGGAGCGCCCGCGTTCGACGGCGACGGCGACGGCGACCCAGTTGAGCACACGATCACATCCTCACGTTCTTGATCTTGATCCTCCTCTTTGATCACAATCACGCTCTCCATCGGGCGGCGTTTCCTTCGGCTTTCCCTTTCGTCTCTCGCTGCAGGGGGGGGCTATGCGGTTCTTGATCTTGGTTCCACTGTCGGCGGGTGCAGTGGCGAATGGGCAATCTTGGTGAGCAGCAGCAGGGCGGGCGGGCGGAGATGGAGATGGTCATGGGGGGAGGAGAGAGAGAGAGAGAGAGCGAGGGTGTATATAAGGTTCGGAGAGGAAAAATCTAGAGAGACAAAAAGCGACGCGATGTTGTTGGTGGTGGCGTCTGGGCTTTTCGTGTCTGTCGGAGAGAGAGACAGAGAGATCTCGAGGGGGAGAGAGAAGAGCGTGTGAGAAGATTCCGACAGACAGGTGGCAGTGTTCTTCTGGTCAAAGGTTTTGACTTGGGGGAGTGGGAAAATTCTAGAAAATTCTCGAGATGTCGGGCCCCGTGTGAGCTGAGTAGCGGTAGGGAAGGGATTAAAATTAGATTTGTGGGGCCCCCACGAAATCTCTCTCTCTCTCTCTCTCTCTCTCTTTCTTTGTGGATAAACCGAGTGGAAAATTCTGAGCCGTGGAAATTGTATAGGTGGGGGTCCCACAAAACTAGATTAGGACCCTAAAACACATTCCTTACATATGTAAAAAGTGGCATGCGTAACTGTGATATTCCAAGTTCGATGTCGGTCGAGAGAGGTCATGCCGAGTGATCACGAGTCAATGCTCGGCCTTAAAAGGTCGTTAACCTCGTCTAGTTATTCAGAGTGCTCATTTTGGGGCTTGTCCCACGGGATCGAGTTGGGTTATTACGGATGTTATCAAATCCAGGTTTCTCATTTTATAAATCTGTGGTTGGTGGACGGGCTAGGACCGTACCTGATTCGATGAGGGTGGGAAATGATTGTCGAAGCGAGAGGACTTGAACAAGGTGTAGCTACTTGCAAACTTCTTAGATAATGAAGGAGGCGGGAATGAACCGGACCTCACATCAAATAGGGGGCGAGAGTATGATAGGGCAATACAGGTCAACATTGATGCGATGTCCGAACTCCCTCGTCAGTTGGGAGATGTCCTAGATGAACGATTCATGTGTCAAACCCCCATCCCAAAACATTGCATCATTGCATATGGTAGTAGAGCAAAATCCCCTCTGGTGGACATGTGGCTTGTAGACGGACTAGGCCCATACTTGATTCGATCAGGGTAAAGAGTGATCACCAAGGCAAGAAGGCGAGAGAGCTTGGATAAGGTGCGGTTTCTCATAGACTTCTAGGATATTGGATGTAGCAGGAAAGGATCGAGCCACACATTAAATAAGGGGAGTATCGCCGGGTAGTACATGCCGACGCTGACGAAAGTATCACTTCTTTTAAGTGAAGGAGCTTGTGACACCGTAATTCTTATCTTGATCAGGAGAGACCTGTTGAGTGATTCATAAGTAAACATCTGCCCTCGAATGGCCATCACCTTATGTAATTACTCAAAGTACTGCTTTTGGGGGGACTCGACACACGTGATGCCCCTTCCTAGGTAAAAATTTGTTCCAAAACGACAGTGCATCTTCATATGATTCACTTGCTTTCAAAACACAAAGTTTTCCCATGATGCTTATGGGGGTAGAAATTCCAAAAGTCCAATTGGGCTCTATGCTTTGTGAAATATTTCAGTTGGGCTTTTAGCAACAAGACATTTCAAGATGGACCCAAACTTTCCACACTTGTCTACAATAATTGGTGGGCCGAGTGTATGTCTTGCAAACCGAAATAGAACATTGGCCCAAAAAGAACGAAAATTGATGTTCATTTTTCTGTCCATGCTAATTCATCTGAATGAGATTTTCCCAAACGGTATTTGGCATTTGTGTCCTTGAACTTTTAGAGGGTTTTGGCGTGATGGGTTCGGAGTAAGACTCGTGGAGGATGACGGGCCTAACCCGCTTTTCCAGCGGGCTTCATGTCGGGCGATGCCCCGATGGCGCTTGGCAATCTGTCATCGGCTCGTGTTCTCACAAGAACCGATTGTATGCTGAGATTGTCAATTCCAATCGACTTCAATTTTACTAGCTGCATCCCTCTCTGCCTCTAAAGACCTGAAAGAAACTCAACATCCTTCACCTACCCTTCAAACTATGTTGGATGTCATCGGTTGTTCGCTCCTGTCATATCTTCTCTACTTCATTTTAGTTGCTATTACTTCCACGCGACCACGTTTTTACGGTAAGGAAACTTAGGGCAAGATGATTGACAAACATAGCAAAAATAAATGTCGAAATTATAAATCTTACATGTAAATAGATAAATAGCATATAAATTTTTATTTTCAACAGTGGAGATGTCAATGTACTTTTAACGGCATCAAAGGAAAACTATTTCTTCCACAAGCAATTGATATAAAAAAATTTAAAAATCGTTAAAAAAATTGATATTGAATTATTTAATAATATGTACCTTTCTTTTTAGTTTCCTATGAGGTCAGATAGTACATGCTCCTATGAATCCGAATATTCTCCCAGAACAAAGACATGACATCACAATGGGTCGTCACTTCTTTTCGATATAGTAGTTATGTATGCATGCATTCCTTAATAACATGCGACAGGACTTAAAATTCTTTAAAAAATGATAGTGTTAAATATTTTTAGTGAAACTTGCTTATTAAGGCTCCTTTTGTTTCTAAAAAACTAAAAGATTTAGAACATATTTTTCCTAAAAATGATGGCTTCTATCGCTCACAAAAATGAACGAACGAAAAGCATTTTCATTGTTCACAAAAATATTTTGACAAAATTCTTGTCGATAAGAAAAATAATTTCCATCGACTGATTATTTAAGTGATACAAAGAATCATTTTTAGGAAAAATATTTTTCAAATCATTTAGTTTCCGCAAAACAAACGAAGCATAAATGACATGACAAAATCACATCAAACTTTTTTTATTTTTGGGTGTAAAGCATCGGACCTGTAAAGTTTAAATGATTAGGACCGATAATCTTAATAAAATATATTGATATCTACCAAAGATTACACCAAAAGGTCCAAAATTTGTTTCATGTCACCAATATTCCAAACTTGTACTGATAATTCAAAAATACCTTCGATTACGGTTCCATTGAAGATTGCGGTTTAAAAGCCGATGTTGGTTTGCATAGGCAACGGCAAACAAATAGAGTTGACATGGATCTGACGTGGCTTTAGTCTAGTCATTTCTCTCTCTATCTGACTCCCGAGAAATTCCACTAGACAACCTAAACCCACTACCTCAAGTATTTTTCCATGTCAATAATACCCTCAAAGTTGTGTCGATAACCCAAAATACTTACCATCGCAGTTCCACCCCAAAATGGCCATTTCAGCTTCGAAGCTGACATTTGAAACTTGTGCTCGAAGGAACTAATATTACTTTATGAGTAAATACATAAATAAATGTTATCTTATGCACACATACTTGTCTTGTCCATATTTCCCTTGTCATGATTGAGTTCCCATTACTTGAATTTTTTTTTACCGGCAGCCTAAGAGTGGGACACTGCTTCGAAGTTCGAAGCTACAAAGCGCGCAAATTGACTATTATTATTATTATTATTATTTATCGGAGAGCTTTGTACCTGATGTGTTATTTCGTCATCGCCTTTCTAGAACAGGAAAAAGCATAATAAATTAAGGAGCAACAAAAGAGAGAATGGCCATTGTTTTTGTTGAACAATGACGGAGGCAACTCGAGCTCTATGCCCACTTGCCCCAATGATGCCCACCACACATTTGACTTTTCTTTTTAATTTAATTTCTCTTTTGGGACGTATATACTTGACTTATGCAAGGTTGTCTCTCTAACTGCTTCCAAGATTGACATTTCTTTTTTCTTTATAGGGAAAATGACATGAATGGTCAATGAACTTTGGCTCAATACGCAATGCGATCCATAAATTTTTAATTTGCTCGATGTGGTCCCTGAAGTTTAACCCAATGTGCAATATAGTAATTAAACTTCTAATTTGTTCAATGCAATCCAAAAAATTTTGGTACATGTTCAATGTAGTCATCGAACTATATGAAAATATTTAATATTGTCCCCGAGCTTGAATTAATAGAAGGACAACATTGAACATTTTCATATAGTTCATGGATTAATTCTAATAACTATATTGAACAAAATTGAAAATTCAGGAATCACATTACACATCAGGCCAAAGTTCAGGCATCACATTGCACATTTGGCCAAAGTTCAGGGACCATTTGTGTCATTATCCTTTTTTTTTTAATGATTTTTAGTGAATATATTTACCTCGCTTTTATCTCTCTTTTTTTCACGCAAAAGGAAAAAGTTAGTTTTTAAATCGATTATAAGCAAGTGGAAGAACAAATCTCTTTCGAATTATCAGGTATTCTGATCGGAGACAGGTGATACGATAGAACTTAGAGCTGTGGAGATGCTTCATGTGGATCATCTCGAAAGTCGGGTTTCCGACCAAAAGAAAAAGTCGATTTTTTTTTTTTCATTTTTTTGTCATGGACGGGTCATCGACGTGATGTGATGACTATTGAATCGGTACGAAATATTCCTAGTCCGAGAAATCATGCTGGATGGCTCTAAATCCCTCTTGAGATCTTGTTCTACATATGTACCTCCAAAAGATGAAGCAAGAGAATCTAAAATGGCCCGAGTTGATCACCGCGATGCCTTGGAAATGTCTCGTGAAATTTCGGGGGTTTGACTTTGTGCAAATTGTTGTGTTGACCGGGGCCTCCCCCACTTTCACTCGAAAATTAAAAAATTAAAAAAAAATTTGACATTCCTTGGTCCACCCGTCCATCACATAATTTGCGATCAACATTAGTCACTATCGTTTTCTATTTTTCAATTTATATATTTGTTTTCATTCCTTAGCGTGTCAACCTTGGGGACATTTTTAGGCCCAAAAGTCAACTCCATATTGGAAATGTTACTCGAATTGGCTACTTCTCTAGGGCGCCCTATCGCATTGACTAGCAAAAAACCAAAACATGTAACAACACTAGTATGCTATTCTTAAGAACCTTAACCCGCAATTAAGATCCATTTATTTCGCGAAAAATAAATTATTTGTAAAACATTTTCCTAATAACAATCATCTGTGTCGTTTACAAAATTGAATGAACGAAAAATACGAAAATATTTATACATAAACTGTCGTCGATAATGACATATTTTTTATCGAGTAATTATTTCGAGCGATATAAATACTGTTGAATTTGATGATGATTGGTCGGATCGGG